TTCAAACAAACAAAAACTTCCAAGAAAATATGAGCGAATAAGAATAGTACCTCTCGAACGATGACTGCACCAGAGAATAGGTTGACTGCATCGCGTTCAATTCATTTTTTGCGGCACTCAACTCCTTTAAATTCGTTTCTTTTGCTGTACTCAACACTTCAATCTGAAAATTCAAAACATCTTCGAAAACATCGATTAACTGCGAAATGTTCTGTGAAATGAACTGATATCAATGTGTCAACTGATAAAAAAACTTCAGTTATCATTTTTCACATTCCATAATTTAACATGTTCCATCAACTCGCGTTCAAATTTCATAAAGACAACGAATTCAACCATATTACATACCCTTGCAGCGTTTGTTTCTGTGAGACGAATATTTTCTTCGCGTAACATTTCCACTTCTTTCTTTAACATTTCATCAGCAGACGTTGATTCACCTAACGACTCTTGCAGTCTTCAAAAAATTTGACTTTCGCTGTTGAATTTTTAGAACTGAATGCTTCAGTGGAGATAGGTTCATTCCTACTGCGAGCACATTTACAATAGACTTGTTGGAGTTCTCTGTTATTACATTAAAAGAAGGTTTGAAAGATGAGAATACCGTTTGATTTGTTGCGATAGTTTAACATTCTTAGCTTCAGCGCTTTCCAGGTCAAGTTCACGTTGTTTCTTTGCCTCCATCAAAGTCTCATTTTCAACCTCAATCGTACTGATCTGCAAATTACTATCTCAATCAGTTCATTCAACTTTCGCCTGCAAGGAAGTATACCGTTAGAAATATCATGATATATTTAAGACTTTAATTTACTCACTTTTGCATCCAAATCAACTTTCAACGAAACTGCTTCATTGAGCTTCTGTTCGAGATCTTTTTTTGCAGCCGTCAACGTTCCTACTGCTTCATTCAACTCACTATTTTTGTTTTGCAATCTGAAATCACATCCATTATAATAAGTAATAAATGACAATATCAAACAATAAAATTCACAAACGACAAGCGAATTAGAACAGTGATCAAGTGCACAACAGATCGGAAGACGACAATCGAAGTCAACGAAAATGGGAATTTATCAAAAGATTCGAGATACTACCGAAAAGACAGATGATACATTAAAAGGACTGAACGCGAGCGCTATAAATATATTGGTCCTATAACGATATGGATGACCATGGATAACTGATCAAACGAAGCAATCAAAATAGTTAATGACATCATATTGCCGCACAGTAAGTTAGTTGTATGGACGGTGAGATGATTCTACTTACCCTCAAGGAAACGAGGAGCAAGAATCAGACTAGGCACTAACTTTTTTGCAGAGATAAATAAGCACAAATGAAGAGAAAGAGAACAAAACAATAACAAACATCCTCTCAAAACACCATATTCCAACGACCACATTCTATTAACGCAACAATTTCTCTCAGAAGTGAACAACTAAACTCACCAACATACGCAAATGAAATTCTCGGAAATGAAATCTCTTCCGATGACTCAACTGAAGTGAAAAAGAAGATTTCTAACTTGTTTATAGTATCCGATAGCCCACTGATCGTTTCGGTAGCACTTTTGTTAGCATTTTCATTTGACATTACATTCTCAGTGAGGACAGCTCTCTCCTCTTCAAGTGTCTTAATCTAAATTCATTTATTTACTAAAAACAGCGGTGCCACATATCTCCGAGATAAGTCAACTTGGCCAAATTAGTAAAAGAATTCAAACCATTCATAGAACTTTTAATATATGATAAAAATTCACTAAAATTCATTACAATTGATACCTGATATGGTAACTTATAATTCGATCCATTATAATGAAAAAAAAACAGAATGGGATTTACTGATCAAAAAATTAACAAATGAAACCTTTTCTTCGAGTTCTTTCACGTGCTCAGATGTTTCACTGAGTCGTTTTGTGGATTCGTTTAGATTCTCTCTGAGCACTTTACTCTCACCTTCAATTTGTTCGTTTTTGTTTTTTAACCTGAAATTTCGAATTCGAATACAAACATCGAAAAACTTTTCCACATCGATAATGTAAGAACTGAAACGTAAATTTTATCAGTAATATATATGTATCATTTCGTAAACATCTTAAGCGAACAAACTCATTTATATTCGATTGCAATTGTTCCAAAAATCCATCCTTTTCGGATATTTCTCGTTTCTTCGTCTCGTTTTCTTCATTCCACTTTGCGTTTGATGCAGTCAATTCATCTATCTGAAAAAATATATTCTAAATTGATTCCAAACACTAATGAAGCAACGTATCAATAATAACCGCAACAGTAATAATAATCAAAATCATAATAACATGTTTACAAAAATACGAACGCCTATTAAGATCAACATAAACTTTGCCCACAATTTTAACCCCAACGTATTCCTTTCTCTCACAAGAGAGCTTGCAAATAACAGTGTACATAATTCGGAAGGCGCTATAAATGACTGCTTAAAATCAAATACAGAGCACAATCAAAAAACAGGACTCACATTAGTCTTTAGTTGTGTTACTTGGGATATCATATCACTGAGTTCCGACTGTAACCTTTCATTTTCGGTCATCACTTTACTCAGTTTCTCATCCAGATTCTTCCTCTGCACTTCACTACTGAAACATTCAACCTCAAATACGTCCAACATTCCATTCCTATATTCATTTCACTAACCAAATCATCTAATGAACTCTAATCGAAAAACTGCGCATAAATTGCTTTTCCGGCAAGTTAGATGCATNGGAAGACAAGGAGAATAATTTCAAGTGGTTTTTCCTTAAAAAAATACTACCGCATGAAACAATAACACTAACGTCGAGAGTGATTCCGTCAATTTTTGTAACTTCTCGTTCGATGAGAGCACTTCTTTTGATTGTTCCTCATGACTTCTAGTGAACGATTCAATTTTCTTTTCACTTTCTTCCAGCTGAAAAAAAAGGAAACCAATTGCAAGTACTTCATCACAAATTCCACACAGAAATGAAATATTAAAGAATTGTTCGGCACAAATTTTCTGAACAATTCTTTAATGAAGTCTCGTGGATCTCTTATAAACAACACTTTAATAGAATATTTAATAACAGTCTAGACTGTTTTGCAACGTGAATATGATAGGAAAACAAATGAAACTAAACGAAAACCTTCGATGAAATTTGTTCATTTCGTGAATTCGCTTCTTTCAGTTTGCCTTCAAAATCGATTTGCGAAGATTCTAACGCTGCTTTATCCTTCGACAGTTCAGAGTTTTCCTTTTCCAACCTAAAAAATTTTAATCCCCTCATTACTCCCATACATTCTATAATATTTGAACTGAATAAAACTTGCAAAATGACAACAAATCAGCGGAAAGAAATATGAGCAAAACAGAGGACGTTCCTCCTAGTGAACATGAATATTTCAGAATCAATGAAAAGTCATGACTCTTCTGTCAGCTTTCAATGAGTTCTCAAAAACCGATGTCTTAAGGGCAAATAATTTCTGGATTCCCGCACATTTGCGTGATCAATTTCGACAAAAAAATCATTTATACGTTGAGATATTTTAAATTCATTCGTAAACGAAAANACTTAAACATCTTTGATAACGGTGATAGTGAAACGGAACTTTTGAGAATCAAAAGTTCCGTTTCACTATCACAAAAAACCAATTACGAAATACTCAATGATTTGCAACAACAGTTTTGTTGTACTTTTTTGAGAAAACATTACAAATTCGTTGTTCAATTGAGGAAAAAAAACATATTCGCTCTTAATTTCAGTGAAAAATTTTAATAAATAACTAAATTTAATAAACATTGAAACAAAATCATTAAACAAACAAACATTCGTCATCAATTTCTCATTCTGTGACGATGCTTCGTTGAATTTCAGTTCAAGTTCTTCGTTTGACTTTCTCAGTTCTTTCAACGATTTCTCCAACGATTCATTCGCATTTTCTGCTCTAAAAAGTATGACTTTTTTAGTGTCAAGATGTAAATCCCTTTGATGCGTTGAACTTTAACATAGGAGAAAAATATATTTAATATATAGGAAACGAAATATTGAGGAAAGTTCTGGTTTTTGAAAAAGATTCACTATCTCACTCCGCTCTCTGTTTACATCATTATAAATTTAAAAATAGCTTACTGAGAGAGCTTAACATGAAGCTGTTCAATTTGCTGTTGTGAATCCTCGATAATACTTTTCGATTTTGATGATTCTTCATTTGATGTCTCAATTGATCTCTTTAATTCGGTTTCCTTAAAATAATTTCAAAGAATGATAGATAAAGCGATGAGTTCAAGAGTGTGATGGGAGAAGCAATAACTGAAGGTAATAATTTCAATCAAAATATTGGTGATGGAAAAATGATGAAATAAAACTTTTTTTATAAAAAACTAATACGATGAGAATATCACTCAATAACACGGTCAAATGAAACCGCACTTCAAAATGTTTACCTTTTCATTCAACTTCACCCGAACATCATCCAATTCGGATTGCAATGTTGCAAAACGAGTTGATAATTCTGAAAAGGAGAATAAATTTGCAAGCAAACAATCGAACGATGCAATAAACTCGATTGAATCAATGAACGCAAATCTGCTTTAATCGCAAGAAGTTATGAGAAAATGAAAGCACAGAATTTTCTTAAGTCTAATTCAAAGTTCGAAATTCAGAAGGAATGAACTTAATGATGGACGAAGAGAAAGCAATATAGCGTTTCAAATCCAAAACGACCAGAAAACTTGGCGAAAAACATGACTTTTTCTACAATCCAAATAAAAATGTTCGTCATAAATTGATTCAATTTGATTCACCGTCTCTATTCGTAAAATGACAGCAAAATTCATTATAGATATCGCAATAAAATGATACACTGACCATCGCACTGAACCTTGAGCAGAACGTTTTGATCATTTAATTTCGACTGAGTTTCTGTCGATGACGTTTGAATATCGTTTAATTGCTGAGTTAACTTTTGCACCTAAAAAACATTTCGGAAAATTTAAAGATCGCACCAACTGAAGCAAATATACCGCAATTATTTTGAAATTATTGAAATAATTTCGTTCAGAAATTTTCAAACCAAAAAGAAACTGACCTCAGCTGCATGCTCCTCACTTATCTCAGGTTTTTTCTCACTCGTTTGTTTCTCGAATTCGTCAAGTTTCTCTTTCAGTTCAGCATTCAATATCGTCTCTTCATCATATCGAAATGTCAAATCGCTTAATCGCTGCAAATCATAACACCAATAATGATGACGATGATAAAACTGTAAAATATACATCACAAAACTGATTTGAAAGCACTGAAACAATTTCAAAAAATAGCACTTATCCAACAGCGCAGTATAACATTAGATTGATGATAAATTCTCGCATTTGATTGGAAGCCGTGTCGTTTGCATTTATTAAAAAAAAAAACATGAATGAACAATGACATTACCAAGCAGTAGAATGACAGCTGTGTAAAACTTAAAACCAAACTAGTCATGTGTTGATTACATGTTTATACCTATTGAATAGTCCAGTGCACTCAATGGTGCTATAAAATCCGCCACAAAATCTACGACATTCATTTCACAGTTCTATCCCCTTAGAAAATATGGACAACAGGCTATTACTTTGACGTTCGCTAGTTTAAGAGAAAGAGAATGGATACAGTGAACTTAGATGTTTCGCAATAAAATTCACCTCCTTGGATTCGTCGAGTTTAATTTTGAGTTCGAGTTTGTCGTTTTCTTCTTTCTTCAGTTTCTTTTTGAGTTTATCGATTTCATTTGATAATTTGTCGATATTATCAGTAGTTGATGAGGACGTTGAAGATGCACTTTGCAATTGCAGTAATTTCGTTTCTGCCTCTTCACAACGACTTGTCAATCGAGCCATTTCGTTGCGTTCAATATCTCGTTCTTTTATCATCTGCTCCAAATGCTTGTCACGTTCTTTCAACGATTCTTGTAATGTGTTTATCAGTTCGCTCTGACCTTGTGATGACGACAGAACTATTGGCCTCTGAAGATGCAGTTCATATTTAATCCGTTACAGTGAACACACATTTAAGTTCAATACTTACTAGACAGAAAATTATGAATTCAGTATACGGCGTATACAATAAACGGCGCAAAAACGCCAAAAGAGAATAAAAACTATGAATTTATCCTCCATAAAATGACAATAGAATTTTGACTTTTCAATGATTCTCAGTATTGAGTACATCCAAGGTGAGAATCATAGCGCAATGAANAGGACGAGAGATTCGAGAGGACGTAATCGATGAGGCACCGATTGAGGTTAACGATTCTTGACTTGTCCAACGTTGACGTAGTGCTGATGTTCGCGTATGTCGAATCTGCAATTAATTTGTCACGTTTAATCGACTGATCGCAACTGTCGATTGAAATTACTCGCAGAAATTAGCGGAGTAGAACTGCGTAGTTCACAATAATACCGCTGAAATACACTTAATCACTTCCATTAAGCTAGACGTTTTGTGAGGATGCAGATGTTCTTTTATGCTCATTCTGGACAGCGAATACCTTCAATTATTGATCTCCATCCATGCGCCCAGATTATATGTTGTTCGATAAAGTAAAAAATAAAACTGAACGAACCTTTATTTTAGCCGGCGACTGATCGGGAGCACGGGTTATTTTCGATGCCATCGCGAATAAACCATAAGGTGCTTTACATGTGAAGTATCGTTTCCCCTAAAATAACAGAAAAAATATTCGCGAAAATTTTACTCCTTATAACAAATGACGGGATTCTTATATTTAAAGTTTTGATTGATAGCGAGAAAAACGACCAAATAATATTTATCGGAAAGATATCTGTAGGATTTAAAGGTTCGAATTAAAGGTGGTTTGAAATCGTTGAACGGATCAGAAATATCATACTGTGCAGTAAGGATGATTGAAGAAGCGGCAGAAATTTAAGTCAGTTAAAATATGACGGGAAATTTTTAGAACAAAACAGTAGAATATCCATTATGGACAAGTAATAATGGAATGGATCAGAACAATGCCAAGACTACCTGTACGCTGCCGTCATTCTTACCAAGCGGTTGGTCGAGTTCGATACCAGCCCAAACACCCTCCTTGAATTCGGTGTTCCCAAGAAATCTCAATGTTCCTTTCTTTTCGCCTGATACCACTACACGATCACCAATATCAAATCTGAAATCTTTCAGGTAGATGATGAGTGTCACATTCAATAAGGTTACTTTTGCATTCAATACGGTAACGTTTATGCATTTGACAATCACGCTCTTTCATCGAATAATGCCGATCGACTTTCCGAGCAAAGAATGCACATTTCTTGCAAAGACTTTCCTAGGCACACTCTGCAATATCCCTCACTACAAACTGTATCAAATATTTGTTCCCTAATGAAAATGCACGCTGAAAGACGCAGATAATTTCGGACACAACTAAATGAGTTTAAAAAAAAGAACCCGAATTGTGCAGCGAAAGGATTTGTGGATACTTTATCGGAACATCCAGCATTCGATGCTGGTGATAAGGTAACACGCTCCAATTTACTCGCCTTACAAAATAAGCCATGATTGGGATCGCACTGAAATTAAGATGAAACCTTGACAAAGCGCAGTTGTTACGTTCCAAGAGTCAGTCCGAGTCCTCTACTAAGCCGCCGTTACGATCCAAATAAATGATTCACTGACAAAACTTCCGAATGAAGGCAATTTAATATGGTATTTATTGATCAGTGCTGATGAGTTCTATTCAAAATTAATTGAAGAAAACGATGAAGCGAATGTGAACGCTTCAAAAACGAAAACCTGAAAGTAGCGCTTTCCATCCACCATTCCATCATTTTTCCCGACTGGTTCATCCAGAACGACGCCGATCCATTCGCCCGGTGCAAAACGAGTAGGTCCAATGAAAACAATATTACCAACTCGATCACCAATTTTACATCGATCGCCCACTTCCCAATCACCAACATGACTTATCGCCGATATTATTGATTCACGGCCTTAATTTTGACCACTTTCAGTAATGAATTTTTCAGTTCACTTGATGATTTGCGATGAAATTTTTTCCTTGCGTATTTCGGAAAGAGATCATTTCCGATTTTTCCCAGTCAATTATAAATATCTGACACTCTTCTAGCAAGGCTAGTCATTGGTGTGGTGTGTAATGAGAGAAAATTTTGTCGAGTAAGAAAAAA